TTGAGACAATGGTTTCCCTTAAAAATTCATTATGAATAACAGACAAACTTGACTTTTGGGAAGTTAAAATAAACTGTTGATTGTAATATAAAAATTATGAGGAGGAATTTATTTCCCCACGATTTTGAAATATAATTCAGCACGAGCATTGCTCACAGATTCTGGCCCATGAAACTTTATTCTGTAAGGTGCTGTGTACTCTGGACCCAATCCATGAAAGTACTTTAAAATACATTGGAGAATTCTGCTCCTTGCCCCTTGCATAATTTAATTCTTAGTGAAGAGAACTATTGTGTAGGACTCTGAATTTACTATCTTTACCTAGCATGACAAGGCCTTGCGATGGTGCTCAGTGTGTATGTGGAGTGAGGATGAAAAGAATGGAATCATCCCCCACATCTTTCGGAAACACAAGGATTTCTCCATCCCTATGTTCAAAGCACATAAAAGGCACTGGGATGAGATGGAACCATTGTTCTGGCCCATCCACACACATTGCCTGGATGTGGAGAAGGTAAAGTTACTCTTTGCACATGTCCCCCACTGCTTTCACTGTACTCTTCTCCATCGCCCCTCCTCCAATGCATGGTCATGCCCACATGGCACAACTGAATCGTGACCTCATCCAAAAAGCTAAGTCTATTTTGTGAAACTTTAACTCCGTTCTAAAAGAAAAATTTGTATTTAATTTGAAATTTGCTATTAAATCTTTTATATTTTTTGACATTTTGAAATATTTCCTTTTATTGGGAGGGAAAAAAACATTTTCTCTTACCCTTTTTTTCTCCTTTATCCAGTGGGACATATTTTTTTAAATAAAGCGTGTGTGTGTTTTTTCCCACTGCAATTAAATTCTTTGAAAGAGTTTGAATATGTTCTTTCAGAATTTTTCCGGGAAAACCCTTTTTTCAAGAAAAAAAACCACTTCTTGTAATCAAAAAAGCATTTTCCCAAGATTGTGATGGAAATTTTTTGCTTGGCTCTAATTGGGCCATCAGTGGGGATAACTGCTGACTTTGTGTTTATTTAAAATCATCAGACAAAATTAATTTAAATATGTTATCAGATATGTATTTTGGTTACTCATCCAAGCAATTTACTTCCTTTTGACATTTTCCAAGAAAGAGATGCGTCATAAGATTGTTTCTCATAGCTAAATAAAAGCATTTCCCCTTTACCAAAACTTGTTTTTAGATCAGGTTTTTTCTAATGAAAGCACAAATAAAATAGACAAATATCTACTGGATTTCAATTAGCATACCTTCATGTCCTGTTTAAAATTAACTGAAAGTAAAAGAATGTCTCTTAGCCATTACAAAATACTTCACATTTTCAAATTTCTATACAAACAAGAGCCTCCCAGAACCCTTACAGGGTAGGTAAATAACGTTTTATTATCCACACTATTGTTTTATAGATGAGACACTGAGAGATCAAAAGCAAAATTTCCATTCTTGGTCCCCTAAAGTTTGAGGCATTTAAATCAAAATACCCTGATTGTTCAGATGCTGACCACCCATATCTTCCATCGTAGGGACTTGAATGCTTTTGTAGGTGATCAGTATCCCAGGAAAATCAGATCACCCTTATGCAAGCCCCTTTTTAGGGCTCCCCATTTATGACAAGCATAGTCTCAGTAATTTACCCAACACCACCTAATAAATCTGTGTCAGTGCCAGGAATAACATCAAGGACTCTACCTAGTGCCTGATCCACTAGGCTTCATTACTGTATTTTTTAATAAAAACCTTTGCACTTGAGTTAACTCACTTATACCGTGAGCTTATGAACACTTACACACATGTATAACTTTGTGCACATGAGTAGTTCTATTGACTTTAAAGATTGAACCTCTCTAGTCTGGCATCCTTGGGACCTGACCAGGGCCAAACCAGAGAATTTGCCAGACCATGGGAGGTCAATATTGTCTAGCAGCATTACCAACACTTCCACCGCTTACTGGGCTCTTAGAAGACATTTAGGAGTAAATGAGAACTAAATAAAAACACAGAGTACTGAGAGCCAGGACTGGTGGCTATAAATAAACTTTGTGGGACCGTGGGAAACTTGCCCATATCCTTGATAAGTGGACATCCAGCTAACCAAAATCATGCTGGACCAAGGATGTAGTCAGACCAGAGAGTGCCAGACTAGAAAAGTCGTACTCAGACCAGAGAGTGCCAGACTAGAAAAGTTCAACCTTTTCTTACACCACTTTTTAAATATGGGTTTATTAAGATAACATTTGAAAACCCTGACATTCCAAAATATCTTCTTTAAAGCATCATACAGAAAAGATCTAAAAGTGCTCCAATAATTGTTAAGAAAAGGCAATGATGTCCTAGGAGGTGTGTTATCTAATCATTAATTCCCCACAAATGGCAGCACAAACGGAAGAGGCACATTATCAGCATCAACATCATTTTTAAAAAAACAGCCGAAGCCAAAGATTAATTGCTCACAGTTTCAGCTCAGTTCAAAGTGACCTCGTACAAAAGATTTAGCCTAACAGCTGTTTGAACTCTACAGTCTGAAATTTCATACTGTTTATTGGAATTACTTTTTAATTAGCCCTTTGGGGGCTGTATGTGTTGTTCATTGATTAATCCTTTGGTAGCTGTTTTTTAAACAACTGATTAATTCTACATGTGGTTGCCTAGCTGCACTTTGCCATTTGTTCTCCATAAAGTGGTCTGGATGGTGAGAGTAACACTCAGTTAACCAAAGGAAAGCATACAGCAATATTCATCAAGAACCAGATTTTACTTAGTGCCACCAGAAAGGTATAAGAGCCATAGGAAACAGTGAATCAGTCCTACAAATTTTCCTCAAGAATTCTTCTCTCACAGAGATGGCTCTCAACTTTGTTCTATTGTGTGGCTCTACCAGCCACTGCTCTGGAAAGCACAGCTCAGGCAATATTTGTGCTTCCATGTGCTCCACTGACTATAGCTGATTTCCTGATCTTCACCCGGTATAGGTGGGTTCCTGTCCATGTGAGAAGCTGCAATACCAAGTAGAGTTCAGTCTCTTTTCACTTCCGTTGATTTTCCTATGCAGATTTGGGAGCCAGTCTCTCCACCCATTCTCTTCCACCCTTAGCCTGCCTCTGTCCATTTTCTTCAGGCCCACAAACCTGAACAAGATCAAGCCTTGTGGAGATTTGTCTCCAGGGTGGGAATCAAGGGAAGCAGATCACATAGTTGGATTTTCCCCATTGTACAGGCTCCCAGTGCATAGAGACAGATAGAACATGGGGTATTAATTGCTTAGTAAATATTTATACATAAAATATAGGCTTATTTGGTGTTTAAAAGCAGATAGCAACAAAGGGTCAAGTTGCCCCTTTCTCCATAACTGAAACTCTCCAAACCCATCAAGTTGAAGACATTCCCTTCTGAGCACTCATTTCTACTCAACCCAGCCTCTCAGGGGTGAAAGTGAAGTTAGAAAAGCTTTAGATTTATTGATGGACAAGTAGAGCAACTCTGAACAATTCTGACTAATGTAGGCATCTCTTTGTTATGGGTGGGATCTAAATTAGAAGCAGGACAGAGAACCTAATACAATAGCACTTAAATAATACCAGACTTTATATAGCCCTATATTTTTCATGAGAGGATCATCACCAAATGCTTAACAGAACTGAGAAATTGGCAGTACTGTATTCCCTGCTTACTTGATAAGGAAACCAGGCCCAAAGAAATGTCAAACAGTTGCATGAGAAGCCCCTGACCAATATTGCCTCTCTTTCTGTAACAATTTCATTTTCAAGGTGCTTTACATACATTCCTCACAGCACTTCTGAAAGTAGGCTGGCAAGCAGTAGCCCTCCTATTTTACAGCTGGAAATACTGAAACAGGGAGGCTAATATTTGCCTTTTACAAGATGACAGGGGGATCACTCATATCTTCCCAGCTTCATGCTCTCCACTGTGTTCTCCACTCCTCTCGGAATTTTTTTTAAAAGGACAGCAATAGCTAATTTAGACTTTTAAGAAAAAAAGTGCCAGTCCCTATTTTTGGAATCAAATGTGATGCAACGTCACTGTGTTCGGAAGTCACAACATCACATTTTGTCCTATAAAGGAGTACAGAAAATGGAGAAATGGCCTCCCCCGCATTTCTTAAAGCCCCACAGCTCCCACAATGCCCCTTCTACGGCACATGTATCCCAACAACCCTCCACCAGCCCCCACCAACCTCTCAGGCATCCTGAAATACCTCCTCCTTAGCGCCATTGGTCACAGCCCCCCATATCCCAGTCCCTCACCACACAGCTCCCCAACACTACCCATTCACTGCATAGCCCCTCACAACTTGTCCCCAGCCCATCTCCCTTTCTCCCCATTCCTGGCCATTCACCAGTGACACTCACCCACTGTTCTTCTCCTGGAACAGTGGCTCCTCCCAGTCCCAGCCACCAAACTGTTTGCTCCCAATCACTCACCCTAAACTCACATGGCCCTGCACTTCTCAGGTTTGGCCCAGACTTTCTTTTGTCATGGAAGAAGCAGCTGGGCCAAACAGGAATGAGTGGGGTAGCGAAGTGGTGCTTAGGGTTGCAACACCACTCAGATTGGGGGCTTGGTTTTTTCTGATGTGTGTATGAGGGGGAGGCGCTGAGATGAGGTGGCCTATGTAAATGCATGGATTGAACATTGGTTGCTAGGGCAACATTACAGATGCAGCCTTCTCTAGAAGACCCCCGTGGGCATCCTCAGAACTCTGGCACAGTGGAGGCTGGTGATGTCTGAAAACAGGCAAGGGACACCTAAGATTCATGCTCAAGTCTACGTAGAACAGTGCGTAAATAGCCTATGGCATGTGACTCAAGTCATGCCAGGCAATTCCTAGGCTACATCCATGCCTCCACTACTCTGACACAAAGATGCTTCTTCATAAACCACCCAAGCATTTCCTATGAGGAAAGTTAGAAGCAGGTGGGGAAGCAAAACAAAAAAACACAGTTTCTACAAAACACAGTAACATTTCCTTACTTTATACCAGGACACTGCCTCATAGATGACTTGTGGATCCTGAGGAGCTTCACAGGGCAGCAGCGCTTCTTCTGTACACCTCACTGCAACCTCTCGAATGGCCACAGAAGTCCCACGAAGGAAACACCATACTGCAAGGCACAGGTACACACAAAACATGTTTATAAAGAGAAGCCTAAATGTTCCTGCCAGCAGAAGACTTACTGACAAAACACACCCACAGAAACAAGTGTGGTAAAATTAAAAATGAAAGTGTCATGTTTACCATTGCTCAGGATGACAAGCCGAGTGTAGTATGTCAAAAGCATGGCTTGCTGCTGCCTTGAATTGCAGAGGAGCTGTGTGAACAGAGATGAAGCAGTTGTTGTTTCCAGCCCTCAGCAAATAGCTCTAGTGGTGTGCCCAGACAAATAGTTTGAGTTTGTTTGAAGTCCCCTAGACACAGGGAAAATCCCTGAGTGGGAGTGTGAAGGCTCCTCCTCTGTTAACTCTGCTAGGGTTGCCCCACTTCCTCATATTGTCTTTGCTGATGACGTATGCTGTACTGTCCCTCTCCTTAACTGAACTGAACAGGAAAATAAAATTACTCACTGATGACAGTAGGTGTCAGCAACAGGTGCTGCATATGGTAAAGTGCAAGTGAAGCCAAGGACAAGCCTTTTCAGAAACCATAATTAAATCCTCAGATTGCAATAGCAGAGTGACTCCATAGTTCTGGCTTTAAGTGCATGTCTATATGGGGAAATTTACTGGCATAAATGAGAGTAGTATAATTAGATTGCTGTGGTGGTACTGGTAAAATTCACCATGCGGACACTTATATGCCTGTTTTTCTTGTTTAGTTTTTGTTGCTTTGCAACATAAACTAGAAAATGTCACTCCTATTCCAGAAAATGAGTATTCACATGCGGCATTACAACTACAGCAAGATAATTATACCAGGAAACTTTTCCCCGTAAATTTCCCCACATAGACACGCTAAGATGGTTTCTGTCATAAGCCCCGTTCTAATACTCCCCTCGAACCTTCTGGCTAAGTTATTTCCTTACAAATTGTATAACCCCTTCTCAGGGAAGACTTTTTGGGGAAGTCTGAGATTAATCACAAAATATTTATGAATCATAATGCTTTAAAAGATGCTGACAATTATCTTTCTGAAAATGGTTCAGGTTCTTTTTGTCCACTCAGAACTCAAGGGATTTACCGAAAAACCTTCATAATTGTTTTATGCACTGAGGCCAAGATTTTCAAAAGCAGCTTATGATTTTGTATATTTAGTACTGGGGAAGCGAGCCCTGCTAGGGCTATTTTACCATGTTTTTACTTAGTTGAATAAGATAGATAGATAGATAGATAGATAGATAGATAGATAGATAGATAGATATTTTTAATCTCTGTGCATTATCATTTCTGCAAGATGTCTAGTAATATTATAAACTTTACTGTACATTACCTGAGCTTTTATTTTTAAATGAATAATGGAGATCATGATTCCTAATCACCTTTGCATTATACTTGTATAGAGCAGTGTTTCTCAACCAGTGGTACGAGTACCCTTAGGGTACTTTAGAGAAGTGTGGGGATATGTGACACACACACACTCCTCTCTCATATAAAGGTGGGGGGTGACTGACCAATCTGTCCCAACTCTCCCTGCCTAGTGCACTCCATGCCTGGCTGGGCCCCCAGGCTGGACTTGCCTCTCCTAATACTTGAAGCTGCATCTTTTTGAGGCAGTATGTGGGGGGCATGGTCATAGGCCAGCAGCAACCTTTCAAAACTGTGCAGGAGGGAAAGGCTTCCAGCCACAGGGGGGTGGAGGTGGGAAGCAGAGATGACGTGGCCTGTGTCTTTGCAGAGGTCATCTCTTCCCCCTTTCCACCCACTCCCCCACCCCTTCTTCTCTGTGGCTAGAACAGGGGTGGGCAAAAGCCACTCAGTGGGCCAGATCTGACTTGCCAAGTCTTTCATCCAGTCCACGCAGCTGTTCCAGACCCTGCCCCCTAGAGCATTGCCTGGAAGCAGTTGCCACTCAAGCCCTTTCAACTGCTTCTATTTAAAGGGCTCATACCTCCTCCGTGCCTGTCAGGCACCCAATAGAAGCAGTTGAAAGAGCTAGTGCATCTCTGGCTCCCAAGCAATGCGCTAGCAGTTCTGAAGCTGCGAGGCCTTTTAACTGTTTCTATTTTAATGGCTCGCATCTTCTGGGTGGCTGCGTTGCCTGGCAGCCACCTGTCAGGTGCAAGCATTTTAGAAGCAGCTAAAAGAGCAACGCTAGCCTGTTGCCTGAGAGCCAGGGACTCGTGAGCCCTTTCAACTGCTTCTGTTGAAAGCGCTCACTCCTTCCCCGTAGCTGGCAGGCAACAGCCTCAGGGAAGGCACGAGCCCTTTAAATAGAAGCATTTGAAAGGGATCCTGTGTGCCTGGATCCCAGGCAACACACTAGCAGTGAGGCTGGGACCAGCAAGCCCTTTAAATAGCAGGAATTAAAAGGGTTGGCAGCTCCTGTCTCCAGCTAACATCATTCCTAGGGATACATCTACACTGCAAGCTTATTTAGGAAAACACTATTCTGGAAGATATCTTATGTGGATGCGCTCGATTTAGAGCACCAGGTACTGAGAAGGAATAACCTTAGATTGGCCCTGGTGAGGAGCTATTTCGACATAAAAGCAGTAGAGCATCCACACACATCCTCTTCTGGAAGAGCTTTTTCAGAAGAGGCATTATTCCTCAGAAAAAGCCCTCCGTTATTTTGATTTTCTTTTGAAAATTTCTGTGTGGACGCTAGTATTGTTTTTATTTTCCAGAATAATTCCCATTATTCCAGTAAAATGTAGACAGGCCCTGGGAATAACAGGGGAGGCGTGAGCCCTTTCAGTTCCTGCTATTTAAAGGCTCCGCCCCTTCCGGGGCTGCTCATGACCACTTCAAAAATTATTGCCCACCTCTGGGCTAGAAGCAACTTGTTCCTACCAACATAACCCAGACACCTCTTGTCCCCTGGCTACAGCATGGGCAGCAAAGGAGTTAAGCCATAAGGATGCCTTGTGCACCAGGGCCCAGGGAACCTGACTGCAGCAGCCACAGCAAATGTGGCCATACAGGTGGCTCTCCAGGAGAGGGTGCCTAAGAGACAGAGCAGCCCCACACTTCCTGGGGGCAGGACCTAGGGTGGGGGAGCATGTATGAAGAAGGTGCTAAATACCCCCACTCAAGGGGTTGCTGTGGAGCCTGCAGGAATGGGGTGTGAATAGGCTCCCCACCGCTCCAGAGCTGAAGTGAGGGGTGGAGATGCTTCCCTGTGCCAGCACTGTGTGGGGCTTTGGCACATGTGGGGCTTGGCTCCTCCTGGCCAGCATCCCCGGGCCACGGGATCTTCAGCATTCCATGGCTGCCAGCCCAGCTGGAGACAGTGGGGGAATGAAGGAGCCTGCCATCCAGGCTGTTATTTAGCTGAATGATCCAACCAGATGCTTCTCTACAGTGCTGGAAATGTGAGAGGAAGGTATGGAGGAGCAGCGGGGCAAAGGGAGTGAAGGTGCACAGCAGAGAGAGGACAGTGAGAGGGGGTCATATAATGGGCCGATGGGTAGGCAGCAGAGGCGACGCACAAGTGGACTAGAAAGGGGAGTGGCCAGTCCAGCACACTGCATCTTTCCCCAACCACCACCCTTGCAAATGCATACCCATCATCAGCCACTGTACTCCCACCACCCACCACTGGTGGCTGGGTGGCTGGTGAGAAAGAATCTGGCCAGCAGTAGGACCCACCAGTACTGACAGTGAGACAGAAAATACAGGACAATTTGCCAGTTGTCCTGTATTTTTAAGGCAAAGTAGAGACACCTGCAGGAGGGCTTAAATACAGGACCGTTCATTTAAAAACAGGATATCTGGTCACCCTATACTTGGAGATACATGGATGAAAAGCAATAGTTGTTATTAAGTTTAAATTATAATTGCTATTAACAGTGTCTGACAGCGAAATATGTTCAAATCCTTTTTCTTAACACAGTTTTTATCTGGGAATGTATTTATAACTTTTCTTTGAGATGTTTCTGTAAATAATCATAACATCCTTGCTAAAGGCAGAAGAGTTGATATAAATGTATCAGAGCGTTCCTTGTCGCTACTGCTGGAAAAAAAAGTTTCCCACTTAGCTCTTGTCTATATGAGGAAAAACATTACATTTGGAAATGTTTTAATTAACACATTTTAACTAACATCACATTAAGCAAGACTTTCCCTTAGTATACACTGGGTCTGTCATTTAAAAAACATTAGTTAAAATGTTTTAAAACATGACTTAGTCCTAGCTAGACTAAGTTGTTAATTTATGTTTAATAGCTAGCTAGTTAACCCATTTTAAAATATGATATTTAATAATCCTTCTCTCATTTTCTTCCACAAATATTTGTAAATTCAACTGTCTGTCATTCTCACACCAAAAAAATATACAGAAAGCCTGTAGGGGCCATGATAGCAGCCAAGCAAAATATGGAAAAAGAAAGTGAAATTTTCTTTGCTTTGACTGTGGAAGACTCGAGCATTCTGCTTCTAAAATTTCCCTTGCTGGGATTTTCCCTTGGGGAAACTTTGAATCTGACTGTACTTTCCAGTCCTGGGCACTCTCTTTTATGTTTGTGATTAGTGATTCTTTATCACTCTAATCCTTATGAGTTTCATTTCCACATAGGTACAGAGAAAGCAAACAGAGCTTAGTTGTAGAAATGTAGCCGTGTTAGTCTGGGGTAGCTGAAGCAAAATGCAGGACAATGTAGCACTTTAAAGACTAACAAGATGGTCTTTAAAGTGCTACATTGTTAGTTGGACTAGTTTAGGTGGGAAATTAGTGAAAATTATTACTTTTATCAATCTGTGAGAGAAGTAAATCCACATCTTTGCAGGGCTCTAACTAACTGTGGGTATGTCTACACTACAAAGTTAGTTCGAACTAACGGATGTTAGTTCGAACTAACTTTCATAGGCGCTACACTAGCGCTCCGCTAGTTTGAACTTAATTTGAACTAACGGAGCGCTTAGTTCGAACTAGGTAAACCTCATTTTACGAGGACTAACGCCTAGTTCGAACTAGCTAGTTCGATCTAAGGGCTGTGTAGCCCTTTAGTTCGAACTAGTGGGAGTCTAGCCCTCCCCAGGTTTCCCTGGTGGCCACTCTGGCCAACACCAGGGAAACTCTATGCCCCCCTCCCGGCCCCGGACCCCTTAAAGGGGCACGGGCTGGCTACGGTGCCCGTGCCAGGTGCAAGCCTGCCAGCACCCAGCTA